GGGCAAATAACATAACTTATACCAAGTCCAATGCCACCTATGAATCTCGATAAATAGAGAACGTAAGGATTCCAAGCCACGATGATTAAAATCCAAGAAATTATATGTGGTATTCCAGCTATCAGGAGGCTTGTTTTACGACCAAGTCGATCTACGATGAAACCTGAGAGGATAATGCTAGGTATCGAGCCGAGGAGAGAGAATGAAGCAATCCATGAAGCATCATCCGAGGTTAGTGGTATACGAGAGTCTGGAGACTTTAATTTTGGCAATATCGGTGATGTCCATCCTATCTGAGTACCAGCTGCTGCTAAACATAAAGTGGCTAAAAAAGAAAGAAATATGTTCAATATTAAATGTGTGAATAAACATGTAATAAAACAATATCTACAGCATTGAAATTGAACTGAAAACCAGGTTAGTTGTCAGATGGAAACAATGTTTCTTCTTTTATTGAGTTACTAAAAATGACTCAATTTCGTGACGAATTTCCGCAGAAGAGGAATTGAATCACTTTTAAAACTAAAAGGAATATCACTGTAAAATATTCAGTCAATATTGAATATATACTTTCAGTCATATTGAAAAAAATATAAACATAGATAGAATGAAATTTTATCATGTTTTCCTGTCATTATCTCACTTTATTTAATTTCAATTACTTATTAATCTAATAATTTTCAACTATTTGTTTAATTAAATTTTTGTTTATTATTATATTATATCATATATATTATATGATTTTTTGGTCTCTAAAATCAGATATATTAATATTATCAGATTATTAATATCTTAAATATCGAATTTATTTGTTATTTATTCTTATTTAAAATTATTATTTTTTATTTATCTTAAAAAGAAAATAAATTATTATTTTTTATTTATCTTAAAAAGAAAATAAAATAAATTTTTTATTCATCTTTTATATGTAGTATTCGATTTTTTTGTATTAAAAAATATATCTTAAAATTGATATTTATTAAAATTCATAATATATTTACATATTTCAACGTTCAATGAACAATTAAACTAATAATTAATAATATATATAATCTTATTCAGAATGATAATTGAGCAATTATTATTTTGGCAATAAAATTTCATGTGTATTAAATAAATTTTAAAATAAAAAATTTTTCTTTTTTTTAATAATAATTTAAAATTACCTGTAATCGCTGCTAAGTATTGCGGCCACCATTTAATGCGCGATTTGTTCATCCTTCTTATTTCTTCTTTTACAGACTATAATATTTAATGAAATTTAATGATATTTTATAAAATCGTGTAGATAGATAATATTATAAATATATAAATAATTTAAAAATATTAATATTTTTACTATTTTTAATATTTTATAGTTATAAAATAATTTATGCGATATATTAGACAAAATAATTTAAAATAATAAAAATTAGAATTCATGAATTTATTCATAAATTTTTAAATATTTTTCGATTAAAATTTTCTAAATAATAAAGTAATATTTTTAATAATAAATACATTTTATCATATAAAAATTTCTTGAATATTATTTTATATTATATATACATGTTACAATAAATATAATAAATAAAATATTGTGCAAAATTATTATAACTTATTTTCAAGAATTTATTATACTCAGATACAGTTAAAAAATTTAAAAATATTATTAATTTAATATATCATATTTTCATATTATACAAAAAAAGTGCATATTAAATTTTTATCATAGTCTATATCTTTTATTATATTGTTTTTTTCATAGTCTGTATTTTTTATTATATTATTTTCAAATCTTTTATTAATAATTTAAATTTAAATTATAAAAATAATTTAAAATAGTATTTTTTAAATTTTTCGTATCAAATTTACATATCGTTTCGTATCAAATTTAATTTTATATATTATAATTCATTAAATGATTTAAAAAGCTAAAGAATGTAAATTAATTTGGTATGCATTTTTTTAAATTTGAATATTTTTAAATTATATTTTTTAAAAAATAGCATTTAGATAACATAAAAATAGTATTAATATAATTTTATGATTAATTTTATATTGCAATCAATAGTATACTTTTAATTTTTTTTTAAATAATAATTAATTTACATTAAATAAATATATATATATTTCATATAAAAAATAATTTATATAATGAAAATATTTTCAAAATTATCAATAATGAAAATATATAAAATCAAATAGAATAGTGTAACAATAAAAATATTTGTAATATTTACAGAGATAATGATGAAACACAATCAAGCCACCAGGAAAAACGAAAGGTTTTGTGCTGCGTTCTTCGTACCTCTTTAAAACATTATAAACAGAATAAAAGTGTAATCACGATGTACTACATTTTATAGGTATGTTGGTTTATCAGTGATTGTCTTATCACAATCGAATCTCGTGCACACCTCCATTTTGCAACTAGGGAAATCTACTAAGACACAAAAATAAAAAAAAAAATATAAATTTAAGAAAAAATAAAAAAGAAGAAGATTCATAAAAGAAAATAGTTTGAGAACACATTTCAAGTGTTTATTTCTTCACTTATATTTAATAAAATATAAATAAAAAATAAAATATTGTTTGTGATTATTTCTTAAAATGTTAAATTTTAGTAGAAGATTTTTTTTATATAAAAATAAAAAATTTATAAAAACAAATTTTTCTATACATACTATATATATACTACATATAATATATATAAAATATAAAAATATATACTATATATAAAAATTATTCGAAAATATAGATTATTTTTTATAATAATGTGCTAAATAACATAATATTTTATTTTTAAAAAAAAATTTGAAAAAATATATATAATATATATAATATAATTAATAAAAAATATATATAATATATAATATAATTTCAATATATATAAGTAATTTCAATATATGCAGCTTCTATAGATTTCTTATCTCGATAAATTAATCATTTTGTTATTCTTCTTAACAAAACAAAAATTTGTATTAAAAAATTATATAAAATATTTCTTTTTTAATTTAATTAATATTTATTTTGATAAAATTATTTATAATATTATTTAATATTCTTCGTATAAAAACTATAAAATAATCGTACATTTTTTTGAACAAAACTAAAATAAAAACGTTGCTAAAAAATATTCAGGTGAAATGAAATGTTTAATATACAACGTTCTACTTTAATCATTGACCGTTCTTATGTTCTACTAACTCTGCATTGATGAAGATATCTATGATATACGTACGGTACTTTGAAATCATGAAATTTTAATGTGTCACTTGAAAAAATATTAATTTATAAATCTGAAGAGATTTATTCGCATATTTAATTTAAACTTAATATAATGGCAAAAATATAAATATACTTCATAATAAATAAGATAATAAAATAATGTATTTAAAATATTTTAAAATATTTAATTAATATTTCAAAAATTAACAAGATAATAAATGAATTATAAAAAACATGTAATCAGTTATTTTTCTAATTTTGTTAACAAATAATTGTTAACAAATAAAAATCTATTTCTATTTATTAATATTATTGACATTTGTATTTTTTTCGATAAAAATGTATTTTTATATAAATTTCACGTAAATGAAAATATAACATAATACTGTTCAAAATATCACAAAGAAAACATTAGAAAAGACGCTTACAAATATGATTATCTTATTAATGATTAATAAAAATAAATAATTAAATTTACAAATCAAAGTCTACAAGACACTTATTAGACACAAACATCATGATTACAAACATAGGACTTTAAATAGGATTCTTTGATAATAGAATATCAAAGAAGATTGATAATGAATGTAGTAGTTATCAAAATTTACAGAACTTGTTTCAAACATTTGATTTAGATACAATTTTGATTTAAATACAATTTAAATATACCGTGTCATATAAAAATAATTCAAAACAATATAGAAAATAATGTTGAATGATTAACTATTATCTATTGCATTTAATTTAAAATTGTACAATATCAAAATAATTTGATTTATTAATATTATTAATCAAAAATTAATATTAAAAAATTTAAATATATAGAGATTTAATAATAGGATTAATAATGTGATAATGGAAAAGAATTTATAAATAAATTATATTGCTTCTTGAAATAATTAAATTTAAATTTTATTTGCAATCAAAAAGTAGAATACATATTAATAAAAATGAAAGTCACACAAGTTATTAAAGGAAGTTGACTCATTGAAAAAGAAAAAGATTACAATGGGAAAAATGAAATCAGACTCGAAGTATTTTTTTTTTTAAATCTTACAAAGATAATTTTTGTTTTGACAGATATCGTCTAAATCTTGTTGAACAGAGAATATAATTTTTTATGATATAATACTTAAAAAAATGTCATATCAGAGAAAGTTATTTTTATTTAATATAAGAAAATTCATTAAATTAAATTTATTTTCTTTTAAAATAATATAGGATAATGATTTATAGCAATATATTTCATAAATTTATTTTTCTAATTATAAACATTAATATTTATGTATAATACGTATGTAATACGTTATCTCTGATATTTAATTTAAATTCTGTGTGAAGAATATTTAATCTTTGCAGATGTTATCATGATATATTTATGATACTTATATTTCGTCGTAGATATAAAATAAGAAACATAAAGAAATTCTTACTTTTAAAATTCTTGAATTTTAATGTTTAATAAAATTAATTAAAATAAAATTTAATAAAAACAAACATATTTATATAAATTATTAAGTTACTAATATTCACGATATTTAAAATATTTAAATTATAATTCTAATTATTATTTATATAATTATGTATTGTAATATAAAATTATTTCATTATTTAAAAATTACGAAAAAATTATAGAAATTATTATGTTAAAAAGATAAATTTATCTAAATTAATATATGTTATAATTTATATTTAAATATATAACTATATTCATTGCACACGAAAGATTTACTTCTAAAATTTCGCGCTTGACGCCAAAGTTTCGAGAGATCGAACTCGAACTTTCAATAATTCGAGCCCTTGCAGTGCGAGCAGTCGTAAGTTGTCTGTCCTCAGTGAAGGAATATCAAGACATTTGTTTTTATAGCAGTTAACTCATATGCGTTTTTCTTATTAATTTGTGTTATTAAAGTATTAAAATTCTTGGAATACGGATTTATAATAATATCTCAACGAACTCTCGCGGGTGCTAAAGAGAATAAAGACCGTATACGAAGATGTGCGGTGGTTTTACGTGTTCTAAAAACGCATTGACGGCATTAAATATTCTTTATATCGTAAGCAAAAATAAGACTATAAAATTTGAACAAATACATTATTTTAATCGTATTTTATTTTCAATTTCGTATATTTATAAAATCTAATAATTTATCTTATCGATATTTAAGAAGTTATATTTTCATAATTAAAAAAAAATATAGAAATATTTTAGAAAGAATTTTTTTATGGAAAAATAAATACTTTAATATTATTATTTATATATATTAGTACTTAATTTAATAATTCATGTAATTCATGTATAAAGTGATATAATCATAAAAATAAATGCATTTATTATTAATATAATATGAATTTATAAATAATATTTTAATTGTTTCAAATACATTTTTAAATTTAAAAATTATTTTAATATTAACATTTTAGGTTGTTGCATTTATTTTAATTGGTGTGGCTGTTTATGGAAGAGCTTCAGCATTAGTTACAAATCTTCCTATTATTGGAGGTATTTTAGCATGTGGTGTTATTTTGATTCTAATTTCTATAATTGGTCTGATTGGTGCTGTTAAACATCATCAAGTTCTATTATTCTTTGTATCCTTTTACAAATATTAAATATAATTATATTTAATCAAATATTTTAATTTCTTTTTATCATTATTAAGACATAAAATCAATAAGAAAATTTTGGAAATCAGAAATATTATCAAAAATTAAAAACGATAATCTATTTATTATATATAAGAGATATACGAATCTTTGTTCATTAATATATAATTTAGTATATATAATATGTAATTTAATTTATATATAATTAATATATAACAAACTTTATAAATGTTAATTTTTTCATGATATATAATAGATAATAATATATAAAATAAAATTTAAATTGATTTATAAAAAAAATTTTTATATTATAATAATGGTTCAATCTTTCTTTTAAAATTTTTCAATGCATAACAAATATTTTTTATATGAATTTTCTTAGTATAAAGAAAATGATAAGCAAATAAAAGAAATCATAATTATACATAAGATTTTATAATTAAACAATAATTTAAATTAGTATGATTTTAATGATAATAAGAAATAAAAAATGTATATAAAATTATTTCTTAAGAAATAAATTATGTTAATTCTTTCTTTCTTCTTGTTAAGTTTTTTTAAACATTGTAAAGAAAATAAGTTACTCTAACAAATATATGAAATAGTTTATATAAATAAAGACATATATAGTTTATTTAAAAAAAGATATTATATAATTAACATTTTATATTATATATTTTGAATATAATCCTTAATAATGTTTACAGTATATGTTGATTTTATTTCTGTTATTCCTGATTCAATTCAGTATTGCTTGTGCTTGTCTTGCTGTCAATGCCAAACAACAAGAACAATTAGCAGAACAGGTAATATATATATTTTATTATATTATTATCATTAAGAATTGAAGAAATATTATATAATTAATTATTTTATTATTTTTAGGGTTGGAAACATGCACCAGAATTAAGAACAAAAGTTGAGGAAACTTTTAATTGTTGTGGATTCAATGGTACTGATAGCACATTTATAATGAATAATTCAGATTCATTATCATGTAAAAATGTAAATATAATTTAAGTAAAGTTAATTATATTAATCATATATAACTTATATTTAATATAAAATTCTGTTTTAATTTCAGAAACTCTGTTCTTGTCAATATCCTACAGATATTGATTGTGAATGTCCATCTTGTATGCAAAAATTACAATCCACAATTGATTATGCTTTTAAGCTATGTGGCAGCATAGGATTGTTTTTCAGTTTTACTGAAGTAAGTATTTATAATTATTTTATTGTATTGTATTTATGTGTTTAATATATGTTCTTGCATAAAGTGCAATGTGAAAATTTACATAATGCTTAAAAGCATTACCATTTGTGAATAATTTCATTTTGTTAAAATAAGTAGTAATTTATTTAGTAAATGTTAACCTGTGTACCCGTTACAGTTTGTTGGTGTTTGGTTGACCGTGCGATACAGGAATCAGAAAGATCCACGAGCTAATCCTAGTGCTTTCCTCTAGTCTAATATCATCGCTATGTCCTCTGTCACCTCATATGATCCTCCTAATAAATGGTGGGTCTCATTTTGCGATTTTTTATTTTACATATTGATTTTTAAAATAATTTATATTAATCAGATTTTATATATAACAGACATCATATCATATTTATGTAATTCAATATATATACCAGTTTTATTAAATTTAAGAATTAATATGGAATATTTCAAATTATTTTTTCTTTTTCAGGTGATTGCAGCTTTCTTGGCAAAACATTATAGAAATCAACTAAATCCATGTTCAAAAACTATATTTCCTTAGTATAATTTTATTTACATAGTTCATATAGTTTAAGAAAAAAAATTTTTTTTTTTTTGAAAGATAGATTTTAATAAGTAATGAGATTAATGATTTATAACTATAATTCTGGTCACTTTTGATTATTTAATAGCCAAAAAACCTATTTTTATTTAACAGTACAAACATCATCTTGCATACAATACAATTTTTGAAAAACTATTGGTCTTTCACACCGCAATTTATAATGCTCAACAGAAAAAAAAAAAAAAAATAGCACATTTGAAACAGTCATAGATTTTAGAACAGATTAGATAACATATAATTAAAATGTGTGCTCTAGTCATCCATTTAGAAAAATCGTACTAAGCCTCAATGCGCCTTGTAGTTTAATATTTAGGTACATTTATGCAAACGCCTTTCTACAAAACTTTGTTTATTTATAAAAGATAACTTATATAAATATGATTAATTATCAATAGTAAATTTACTTTCTATCAATATATTTTTTAAAAGTACAAGTGATATTAAAAATTTTTAAATAGATTTTAATATAACATGAGAAAATATAACATGTCCCTAATATTATCAATTTTTATTTGGTAAAGATCTTTTCTGGTTTGATTTTTAATCAGAAAAGATTAAAGATTTTTAATTTTTTTTATTTTATAATATTCATAAATATTTTTAATAATTTCATTTTAATTAAATTGGAAAATTAAATCAAATTATTTTTTATCAAAATATATTTATAAAAAAACGAAGAAATTTCGTTGTAAATTATAAAGTATTAATAGTTAATATTTTGCGAATCAAACATATTAACGATATAATAAAAAATATAATGTGATGATTAAAATATTATACACAATTTTTTGATTTTGGCATATTATTACAATACTGCCATATGTATAATAATATCATAATCATCACATTACTAATTTCCAATTTTTAATCTACTTCCTTTAATTTTTATATTTACTTTATAAAGTTTCCATTATAAAATTCTATTAGAGTATATTTCTAAATTTTATATATGATGCATTTAAGAAATATTCCAATTACAATTATTTTACTTTTTAAATTATTCTATCAAATTAAAATATCGTTATTTCAATAAGTTATTAACTTTATTAAATATATAATGCTTATATGAAATTTTCTAAATTTTTATTTTATTTAATTAATAAGTAAAAAAAATAATCATAATTATATATTATACTTAGATTTAATATTGCACTAAATAATAAATATCTTATTAAAATATGTATTTATAATATTATGTTCTGAATACTATATAAACATTTATTTATTTTGTGAAAGTATATGTTTAAAAAAAAAAGATACATGTTCTTGTTTGAAATTATCAATATTTTTATTTCTATATTAATTTTGTTTTCTTTCTTTTTTTCTAATTTAAATAAGAGAACGGCAATAAAATTGTACGATCAAAAAGTTAGAATATATATGTTGTTATAAAAAAAGATCTATATAACTATGTGTTTTGCTATAATATTGACTGAAAAATGTTTTTCTAATTGTATCTATTAACAAATCTAAAATCAATTATCTTAATATTATGTTAAAGGCTTAAAAATGTTTGATGAAAGCTTTTCAGCAATATATTGAGAAATAGAATTGGTTTGAAGATATAATATTAGAGCATATAATATAACATTATTATCAATAAAGTGTATAACATTATATTACTTTTACAACTATAATTGTGAAAATAAATCTTTATATTATTTATTAATATAATTGATTTCAGGATCTATATTTGATTAGATTTTTTTTGTTCTTTTCAGAAAATACTGTAAGTTCAAAATTTTAGTTTCTTTATAACACTTTATTATATGATGATTAATAACAATTATCTGTTACATTAATTTTTTATTCTATATATATATATATATCTAGGATATTTTTAAAAATAACATATATTAACTCTTTCAATGCATGTAATTTTTTAAATTGTAAAGGGAATTATTTTGAAAAATATAATGTACTATACATATTTAATATATATAGGATATTAATATTATGTTTATAATATCTTATATTATATAATTATAAATAAATAAAATAATTTATTAATAAATTAAAAATATATGTATACAAAATAAGATAAAATTATTTTCATTATTATAAAATTAAAAAAATTGTTGTGTCTAATATATATTAATTAAAATAACATAATATGAAGTATGAAGATCTATGTATATTTAAATTTAGATTCATAAAAAATAATAAAACATGCAGCAAAGGGTTAATAGAAATGTATTATCCTAATATTCCAATTATCCTTTTATTTTTATCAAAAATATGAAATAATAATAATATTCTAATAATAATGAAATAATAAAATATCCTTAAAAATTATATTATAATTTTTCTGTATGTGAAATATTATATTATAGAGCAAAATTAAATATATACATATAAACATATATAGAGTAAAACAAAAATCGTATATATAGAATAAAACATAATTGATTATATAATTTCTTACGTAAAAAAATTTAGTTGTGGTTGATTTTTTTGTCCTTTCAGAGTTTTCAAGAGATAAATTTTAAAAATTATGCACATATAATTTTGATTGCCATATTATTTTTTACATTAAGTTCGAATTAATATTTATAATATTAATAATTCAAATCATATAATAAATGGAATTCAATAGAATTTTTTATTATTCTATTATAAATATGATTTTATTATTCTATTATTGAAAATATAACTTCTGTTGTATTTTTTATAACATAATCAATGGCTTATAAATAATAATTCGAACATATAATAATAAAATAGCATAATAGCATATTACGATAATAAATTAATTTTTTAGCTTTCGATCATTTATTTTTTTTTAGAATTAAAATTGATTTTATAAAAAATAAGAAAACTTTTGCACTAAATTTTTTTATATTTTTTCACGCAGATATTAAATATTTAAAATCATGTTTTTAATAATTATATTACAATTTTTGATTTACCTGTATTAAATGTCTATTATTATATAATTTGTATTAAATAAATAAAATATACGGTAAATATATATTGATATAATTTTGAACCAATGATTATTTTGAAAATTAAAAAAATATTTATATAGCATAATATAAGTTTAATAAATAATTTTAAGATAATTTGCAATAACATAAATAATAATAATATAAAAATAAAACATAGTTGGTAAGAATAAAATATATAATAAACTTATGTATCAGTATTTTATTCATACGTTGCAATTAATATATTGTAAATACAATTTATGTTCTATAATATTGTTCTATATATATACATATATTTATCGATAAATTAATTATACATTATTAATTATATTTAAAAATATTAATGGATATTTAAATATATTAGTGGAATGTATTTTTATCGAAATAGGTTATATTTACATCAATTTAATACGAAAACATAAAATATAAAAAAAATAATTAAAAATATAATAATAATATAATTTTAATATAATAATCTATGTTTTATATAATATAACATATTTTTTGTGAACAAAATTTAATTCAATTTTAATTATTTTGTTAAATGTAATTTTTATTCTATATAATATATAATTTTGTAACAAAAGTAATTACAAAATCGAACAAATTCTTTTTGAGTAATTATAAATTTTGTTATAAATTTTAATGATTTTTGCATTTTTACATATATATAAATATATATATTGTTATTTTATTTTATAGAATTTTTTCTGAAGTAAATATATTTAAAAGTCTCTAGTAAAATTGTTTTATTTTTGAAAAATATAATTTCATTTTTTCGTTTATTTTAATTAATTTTTACACTTCACATTTCGTTACGATTTCACATAAATTAAAATTTCGAGAAATTTTTTAAATTTCATTTTATTTCAAAATAAAACTTAAAACTTAACTTCTTAAAACTTAAAAAAATATCTTAGTTTGCATTTATTTGTTTAAATACGAACAAATAATATAATAATTTCTTTAAAAAAATTTAAGAAACAATTTGTGAAATGTTTATAACATGACAATATATATATATATATACATAAATAATCTTGTACTTACTGATAGAATAATTAATTATATTATAATTAGAATAAAATCAATCAATTATTAATTATATATATAATTATATAATTATTAAATATATAATAATATACAAGATAATGAACTGAATGTTTTATTGTTTAGTTCATTCACCTGTTACATTAGTGATTATTTAATAAAACAATTACTCATGTAATTGTATCGATTTCTCGAATCGATTATTCTAAACCTTAATAAAAATGGCTACTTTGAAGCACGCATGTCAAGTGGATTATTAGTGTTGATAAACAAAGAATTTTAATAAAACGGCTCCTATAAAGTTATTAATCGTCGACATTGTTTGTCGACGTCTCATTGATATAAAATTTCAAAACATTTCGGAACGGTGATAAAAAATTCGCAATTACGACGGAGTGTCAAAACAAGAGTGACAACGTCGAACGTGACGTTGAGGTTATGGACAACTTCGTCAAGATAGAAAAAATAGGGGAAGGGACCTATGGGGTGGTTTATAAAGCCAAAGATAAGTTAACTGGAAAACTGGTGGCACTTAAAAAGATTCGTCTTGAGACGTACGTCGATTGTAATATTAATATATAAAAATCTGGAATTTTATTCTAATATTTATATTATGCCGGGTGATGTATATAACCATATTATATTAACCAAAATAAACATATAATACTTTTAATAACAATTTAAAATTAATTTAAAGTTATTAGTATTAAAATGAAATCAAATATTTTAATATATTTAGAAATCTAATAAATATTCTATAGAATAAATTTTTAATGATTTCTATTGGATAATATTTCTGTTTTATTTTAATATTCTAATAATCAAAAAATATTTAATAGATCTTCATTTTCATATATATACACGTGGGAAAATAGGTTTTTTAATTTTTGATTTATATTTTATTAAATGAATAGTCAATAATATTTATATACATGTTTAATAAATATATATTTAATATTTAATGGAAATAATTATTTTTATTATCATAGAATATAACATTAGAATTTTTTTTATTATGAGAATAATATGCTTTTTCAATGTTTTAAATAATAAATGTTTTTAAATATATTTAAAATATGATTTTCTATTTTAATTTGAAATAATAGATTATATAGTGTAAAGATTGTTATTAAACTGAAATCATATGTTTTTTAGAAATCAAAATATTGACTTTTTATATAACTAATATTTTTTTCACCCTGCAAATATCCAAGTAATTTGCACGTTTCTAGGGTTAAAAATATTAATGTTATGTAATTATTCTTTATTTAACAATATAAGTAACTTTTGAAGATAGTGAAATAAAATATCATATTGATACAGCTTTTGCTTATATGCATTGCTAACACATCTGCTAATTTACACATTGGGGTCAGCTGAATCTGCAGGGGCCACGTTACACTAAATTTTCGTAGCACCACATTATTCAGCTTGTCCCATTGTGTCATGCTCAGCTGGTTTTTGATTTTAAATCCTTTATT